AAAAAAAAAAAAAAAGAAAACACGCATAAGGACTAAACATCAACAATAGATACTCTGCAAGGCATGGCAGCACTCACCTGTCACCCTGGCTACTTAGGAGGATGAAGTGGATCACCTGAGCTCAGGAGTTCAAGACAAGCCAGAGCAATAGAGTGAGATCCTATCTTTTAAAAAAAAAATTAAAAAACCTAAGAATAACACATTTTCCTCTATTAAGATTAGGAAACATGAGTAGGAATTAAAAAAAATATTTTTGGCTGGGCATGGTGGTCTACACCTGTAGTCCCAGCCATGTGGGCAGCTGAAGCAGGAGGAGGCTGGAGACGAGGAGGCTGAGGTTGCAATGAGCTATAAAGACACCACTGCACTCTAGTCTGGGTGACACAGCATTGAAAACAATTTTTTTCTTTAAAAATAAATCCCTTTCTGTATCTAATTTATTGATATCTTTTAAATGAAATAGTGAACAAAATTAAATTTAGGTTTAAAAATATAAACAGTGATCCTGATGACCACTAAAATACTTACGATGGTCGATCCTCAAGAATCAGGGCAGTAGTAGAAAGTGGCTCAAATTCAAAATTCTTACGTCTTAAAGACTGAGGTGGTGGTTTAGAGGTTCTCCCTGTCCGTGCTTCATATTCCTAGAGTAAATAAAATCATACTTTATGCAACAGAGATTGATCCAAATTTTAGTTTGTATTATTAAATCTTGTACCATTAAGGATCCTATGCTATAATAGGGAATATATACAGTTCATATATTTTTTATTTTTTTCCTCACCACTATATGATATGGGATACAATTCATATGTTAACTTGGTGAAAATATGAGGCACACAAAAAATAAAAGTCAAGGTTTTTTTCCCTGAAGCAACCTAAATTATAAATTTATACTACATACAAACCTAAATTATAAATTTATACTACATACAAAATATAGTAAAAGAAGGAAAGATATAAAGGCACTCGATTAATTGAGTGCCTGTAGGAGACGCCAAGAGTCAGATGACATCCGACCAAGATGATCTGCAGCTGAGGCGTGGACCTCGGGCCATTCGTCCACAGGAGTTCCTTGTGGAAGAAGAGCTTGTGCCTTCAGCACTTAGTCATTGTAAATTACTCTCCTCACCTGTCTTGTTCTGGCTCAATAAAAGGCTGGTGAGGAGGTTACTCGGGGCTACCCGGAAAGTAAGGGCTAGCCGGCCTTCCACAAACTTGTACTTCTAATCCGCCTCTCGCCTGGTTCCTTCCTGCGCTAACCGAAACCAGGGCCATAGGAGCCTGATGGGTCGCGACAAGTGCCTTTTATGGTTTTCAACTATCCAAGTTCAGCTTTGAATAATCTACAAGCAGATAAATCTACTTTCTAAATCTTCAATCTGATCAATGATGGAAATGTTAAAACAAGATATAGACAATCCCATTGTACTGCTCCGAAGATCTCTCTTAATGGTAACATTGAACTTCTAATCAAATGATGATTTAGATTTCAATCATATATCTACTTTAAATTTAAACAATATTTCATCAATACATCTTATCAAAAATACAGCCAAAGAAGGCCATTCACGGTAGCTTATGCCTGTAATTCTAGCACTTTGGGAGGCCAAGGTGAGAGGATCACTTGAGCTTAGGAGGTCAAGACTACCACAGGCAAAAAGGCGAGACCCTCATGTCTACAAAAATTTTTTTTTAAAAAATTAGCTAGAGGCCACATGCGGTGGCTCATGTCTGTAATCCTAACACTTTGGGAGACCGAGGCAGGTAAATAGCCTGAGCAAGATTGAGACCCCCATCTCTAAAAAATAGCTGGGCATTGTGGCAGGCACCTATAGTTCCAGCTACTTGGGAGGTGGAGGCAAGAGGATCACCTGAGCCTAAGAGTTTGAGGTTGCTGTGAGCTACAATGCCATAGCACTCTACCAAGGGCAATAAAGTGAGACTCTGTCTCAAACAACAACAACAAAAAATTAGCTGGGCATGGTGATACAGGCCTATTACCCCAGCTACTCAGGACGCTAAGGTAAGGCAAGAGGATTGCTCAAGCCCAAGACTTTTTTTTTTTTTTTAAACATGTTTTCTTTCTTTTTTGGCTGGGGCTGGATTTGAACCCTCCACTTCTGGCATATGGGGCTGGTGCCCTACCCTTTTGAGCCACAGGTGCCACCCAAGCCCAAGACTTTGAGGTTGCTGGGAGCTATGATGATGCCATGGCACTCTATCAAGAGTGACAGAGTAAAACAGGAAAGGAAAGGGAAAGGAAAGGAAAGAACGAAAAAGGAATAAAATTCAAGGTATAGGACCAAAAAGTCTGTATTCTCAACAAATTGCTTAGGTAGCTTTAGTTGTCTGAGAATTAAATCATAGATCACTACAATAACTCATAATGTCCTTGTCCATAAATCCACTGTTCCACCCCCCTTTTTTTGAACAAAGAGTTCAATCCATTTACATTATTGAGAGAATTGATAAGTGGGTAGATTTCTGTTCATCCTATTAAGTAGAATTTTCACTGCTCTGTTTTACCTCTTGAGCCACTGTGGTATCTGGGTTCTGAACTTTAGCATTTGGGTGCTTTTACACTGATAGATTTCTTTTTTTTTTTTTCTTGAGACAGAGCCTTAAGCTGTCCCCCTGGGTAGAGTGCCGTACAATCAAAGCTCACAGCAACCTCCAACTCCTGGGCTCAAGCGAGTCTCCTGCCTCTGCCTCCCAAGTAGGTGGGACCACAGGCACCCGCCACAATGCCTGGCTATTTTTTTGGTTGCAGCTATCATTGTTGTTTGGCAGGCCTGGGTTGGATTTGAACCCGCCACCTTAGGTGTATGTGGCTGGCACCTTAGCCACTTGAGCCACAGGCACCAAGCCTACACTAATGGATTTCTATTGTGCTGATCACTGTATAATGCTGATCTGAGTCCACTGTGCTTCCTGCAAAGCAGGTCATTTTGATAAATTCCCTCAGCATTTATAAATCTGAAAAAGTCTTATTTTTCCCTCTTATAAGAAACTCAATTTTGCAGGATATAAAATTCTAGGCTGGCCATTATTCTGTCTGAGAAGACTGAGAATTGGGCCCAGTCCCTTCTGGCTTGTTTTTTGTTTTTGTTTTTGTTTTAGAGACAGAGTCTCATTTTGTTGCTCTCAGTAGAGTACCATGGATCACAGCTCACAGTAACCTCCAGCTCTTGGGTTTAGGCTATTCTCTTGCCTCAGCTTCCCAAGTAGCTGGCACTACAGACGCCCGCTACAATGTCCAGCTATCCTTCTGGCTTGTAAAGTCTCAGTTGAGAAATCTGTCTGATGAGTTTCTTCCTTTGTTAAGTTCCCTAATGTTTTCACCATATGGTTTATAGGAGTTCTTCTTTCGTGTTAATTTTGGCCAGTCTGATGACTATAAATCATGGTGTTTGCCTCTTGATGATGACTCTCCCAAGAGTCCATTGTGCTTCTAGTACACAGATGGCCTAAATTTCTAGCAAAACCTGAGAAATTTTCCTCAGGTATTCCTTCAAATAGGCTTTCCAGCCCTGTGTATTTTCCTCTTCACCCTCAGGAACACCTATGATTCTTATGTTGGATTCTTTTTAGAAGCCCATATTTCTTCTAGGCTTTGTTCATTCCTCTTCTTTCTATGTTCTTTCTCTGTGACCGACTTGTTTAATTCGAAGGTATTATCTTCTAGCTCTGAAATTCTTTCTTTCTTCTTTTTTTGAGACAGAGTCTCACTATGTCGCCCTTGGTAGAGTGCCATAGTGTCACAGCAACCTTAAACTCTTGGGCTTGGGCTCGGCACCTACAGCTCAGCGGCTAAGGTGCCAGCCACATATACCAGAGCTGGCGGGTTCGAATCCACCCCAGGCCTGCTAAACAATGACAACTACAACCTAAAAATAGCCTGGTGTTGTAGCAGCCACCAGGAGGCTGAGGTAAGAGAATCACATAAGCCCAAGAGTTTGAGGTTACTGCGAGCTGTGATGCCATGGTACTTTACCAAGAGCCACCTAGTGAGACTCTGTCTCAAAAAAAAAAAAAAAAAAATTAAATTAAAAATAAAATCAAGCCCAGCTGCTGCAATTGAAAAAGTCACTCAACAAATTTAAATCAACACAGTAGAAAGCCTTAAGAACAGGCTAGATCAGGCAAAAGAAAGAATTTCAGATGGCTCAGTGCCCACAAGACAGTGGTTATGGCACCACCCACATACACCGAGGCTGGCAATTTCAAAACTGGCCTGGGCCAGCTAAACAACAAAACAACTGCAACAAAAAAATAGCTGAGCATTGTGGCAGGTGCCTACAGTCGCAGCTCCTTGGGAGGCTGAGGCATGAGAATGGCTTAACTCAAGAGTTCTCAATTTTCTAATTTTTTTTTTTTTTTTTTGAGATAGTCTCAAGCTGTTACCCTGGATAGGATAGAATGCCATGCCATGTCTGCTCCCAGCAACCTCAAATTCTTGGGCTTAAGTGACTTTCTTGTCTCAGCCTCCCAAGTAGCAGGGACTACAGGCTCCTACCACAATGCCTGGCTATTTTGTTGTTGTTGTTGCAGCTGTCATTGCTGTTTAGCTGGCCCAGGCCAGGTTTAAACCCACCAACCTCAGTGCAGGTAGCTGGCACTGTAACCACTTTTGTACCGGCACTGAGCCTTAATTTCTTTCTTTTTTTTTTTTTTTTTTTTT